TTGATTGTCTAAATTAGGAAACATACCATCAATCTTGTTTCTAATAGATTCAGTTGGGGAGTAATTGCTGTATTATGAGGCACACAAAAGCATACATCAAACATGACTTGTAACAGCCATGCCATAAATACAGTACAGATTGTCTCAACTGTAAGTGTTATTAAACCATTACCATAAACATGGTTACATGCTCCCGAACTCGCCTGGAAGAAACTCTTCAGATAACCAGGAAACACCTAGATAACCAGGAAACCCCTTTAGATTACCTGGAAACCTCCAAAGCTCTCCATTAAATCTCTTTAGATCACCATGGAACCCTCGGTCACTTGAAACCCATGCTGCTCAGCACGGAAACCCCTTCGGTTCACCTGGAAACCCTAATAACTCTCTATGAAGCCGTCATTTACTATCCAAAATCCACTTGAGTTCATTTAAAGAGTCTCTTAGATACCATGAAATGCTCTCAGCTGACAATAAAACTATTTCAGCTCACCTTAAAACTGTTCAGCTCATTAGAGAACCTAACGACAGTTTGCAAGGAAACTCATTCAATTAATTAAGAACATCTATATAAAACCACTTTTCTAAACGTTTCACCATGGATAATCTATTATTTCAGCCCTCCTCCATATACATATATTGCTGGCATTGAAAAACATTGCTATTGCACAGCAATTGATTTACCAGGTAAGAAGCATGTCCTTGTACAATGACTAACTCTGATGTCCATACAAAGGACCCTGAGTGCCATTCCTTATTACAGCATAGCTGGGGATTATACTGACTATATATTACAGCGTTCCTGGGATTATATATATACTGTCCATATAACAGCAATCCTGGGATTATACTATCTATATTACAGCATTGCTGGCATTATACTGTCTATATTACAGCATTGCTGGGATTATACTATCTATATTACAGCATTGCTGGGATAATATTGTCTATATATTACAGCATTGCTAGGATTATTCTGTCTATATTACAGCATCGCTGGGATTATACTGTCTACATTACATTAATGCTGGAATTATACTGTCTACATTACATCATTGCTGGGATTCAACTGTCTACATTACAGCAATGCTAGAATTATACTGTCTATATTACAGCATCATTGGGATTATACTGTCTACATTACAGTAATGCTGGAATTATACTGTCTACATTACAGCATTGATGGGATTATACCGTCTCCGTTACAGCAATGCTGGAATTATACTGTCTCCATTACAGTAATGCTGGGATTATACTGTCTACATTACAGCAATGCTGGAATTATACTGTCTACATTACAGTAATGCTGGGATTATACTGTCTTCATTGCAACATTACTGGGATTATACTGTCTAAATTACAGCATTGCTGGGATTATACTGTCTACATTTCAGCAATGCTGGGATCATACTGTCTACATTACAGCAATGCTGGAATTATACTGTCTACATTGCAGAATTGCTGGGATTATAATGTCTACATTTCAGCAATGCTGGGATCATACTGTCTACATTACAGCATTGCTGGGATCATACTGTCTACATTTCAGCAATGCTGGGATCATACTGTCTACATTTCAGCAATGCTAGAATTATACTGTCTACATTACAGCATTGCTGGGATCATACTGTCTACATTATAGGAAAGCAAAGACTCAACTTTGGTATTTTAATATTTCAATAATGTTGAGGGAGATCAAAATGCTGGTACAAAAAATGAATCTTAAATAACCTTTTTTGTATTTTAGGGTTATTATCATCAGATAATCCAAATTATCGAGGTTTGTCTGATTTAACTGTTGATTTGTTACATCCTCCCAGCCATGGGTGATTATTAGAACAACTACAACTGACACAATGAAATATTCCTGCCTTTCAAATTGAGGAGGAAGTCATGAATACATATTAGCATACATAGAGGAACTGCTTGCTAACTATAAAAATCTTACTATTGATTAGGAACGGGTCCGTTTAGATCAACTGTAGAATATTTAAGTATTTTAGATTTTGGCATGGTTGTCCATGGATGACCGATTCAGTGTGATGTTTGGTTACAACATCAGAGATCCACATATAAAAATCTTATGCTTTGTGCTTAGAAACACAGCAAAATGACAGCTTTCCTGATCCCTAAGAAGGACTTACATATGTATTAGCACCCCTAAATGGATTTCCTATACATGAGGACTGTTTGTAAGACCACTTTTATGTTGTGGAACAGAGTAAACACTTGGAGAAACTTATCGTAATTGAGTTATAGCAGCATGTATCTGGACGCTGTACAACTCGGTTGATTTCTATCATACGCCATGGCAAGACACTGTAGAACAAAGCCTATCATAGTTCTCCAAGGTCACCTTTACATGAACTGGAAATAATTCTTCACGTTTATATCATTGCTAGCATTTAGTTATTTGGAGGAAAAAACATAACTATTCATTTTTTCTGCAGCACACTGGGTCAAAAAAAAAGTCCATGAAAAATTTAAACCATATTTTCGCTCTTGCATTATACACAATATTTTAGCCTATGTTGAAATTGCTCTTCTGTTAGTGATTTTACTAATGGGTAAATAAACTATAAGAAAGATTTAGAGAAGAAGTTGATCTCACATGAGATTTACTTTCTTGTAAAGGTGAAAAGAACAAAAACAAAGTGAAGTGACTAACCAATATTCCCCTATCTCCAGACAAACCTTTGATATCAAAAATGAAAAAAGGGCAATAATGTGATGCATTGCTTTCCTAAGTGGTACTCAGATTTGTACCCAAGGGTAGAATTTGGATATCCAGCATACCTACATAATGATCAACTCTTTCTCCTACCTCTAACTCTTAACCAACATTTTGGTAAAGGGAGACATTGACTTTGCAAATACAGGAAAAGGTATTGTATACCAATTTGCAATAGTTCACCAAAAATTTAAGATACATGCAAGACCTTCAGGGCAACCTTATGCAATAAGTCTTTTGTTCCAGAAGTGGTGACACTTTTAATTGAAAGTTTGTCACAGTTTTGACGGACTATAGATTTGACGTCATAATATAACGCTGTCATCTGATTGTGATGTCATAATATAACGCTGTCATCTGATTGTGATGTCATAATATAACGCTGTCATCTGATTGTAACGTTATAGCTTTAAAGGGCACTGAATACACATGAAAATGATCCTGATTTAACAACGATACTAGTTCCTAATTGTCCGTTTTGAAAGGTAGAGTGAGTTTTCTAAACTACATGTATCATTGACCAAGGTTTGTACACTGAAGCCATCCTTCACAAAAAAATCAAAGTACATCAACACCATTTTTTGGAATGGAGATGGAATGAACAGTTGATGACGATTTAATGAAGCTTTCATAATTTTGTTGTCATCATTAATTTGTTTCGGATTGTTAGGCAAAAATAAAATGTACCAAAAATAACCCACTCTATGGATTAACCAAACAAGTGCTTTATTTTAGATACCAATAAAAAGTTCACCTAACACACTCACTTTGATTTCATGACCAAAATAGAGCAAGTCTGCAACTGAAAGGAAATGGGGTTTCCAAGCAGCTAATGATAATTTATTAAAAGTCGTTAGGATAACATTTCTAGTGATCAGACCAATAAGGAGCCATTCAATATACCTTCAACTGAGTTGTGTGTATCACAATAAAGATGCCTTGATTATCCGTAGCCGTCCTCACACGACCATAAAACATGTAACCGCCCGCGGGAATCAATACACACTAACATCACCTAGTGTGTGTAAAACACTGGCTACCGATCATTCACTCTTTACCATAATGAGAAAAGTATGACTCTACACTCCGATGAATAAAACAAGACGTCCTATTTCGCCCACATGATAAATCCACATCACCCATGCAAATGGTTAATTCCACAACCTAAGGGACTTCATTCAACAAACTGTTGTAAATAACATATTCAATAAAAATAAAATTTGGCTAAATTTGGAAGGGTCTTTTATGATAAAATGTCAAATGTGATATTGAAAAATGAGGTAGAGTATTGTACTAAATCTATCTCATAACCTCTGAACTCTTTCAATTTCTTTAACACTAGGATATTTCATAATATGAGAACCTATAGCTACAAGTGCCATCAAAATAATTGTAAGGTTGTTAAAATTTACAGTGTTGTTCTATTCCTTAATGAAATTACAATGTTACAAGGACAAGTCTGTTGAATAATTTTCATCATCATGTGAAAACATTGAGGGTTACATAAAAAAAATCTACAACAACGATACACAAGCATGAGAAGACACATATTTATGTTTTTTATTAACTTAACATAACAATTCAAAATCAATCGCATGCACTTTAAAAATAAGTATTGGCTTTCAAAAATAGTGGGTGGAATCGTCAAATATTTTGTTACCTTTAATTATATAACCAAGCTCTAAATAAATACGACCAAAAGGCCATCAGATTTTACATCATCCGTACTCTGTACACACCTCAGTGTTTAAATGTATATTTGTATGGCCTTATTATCAGTAAAATGGTAAGTGAGAACCTTGAGGAATATTACCAAACAAAGCACTTGAGCATGAGCGTCACCAATGTATGGCATTTAGACTTCCCACAATACAATAACAGTGATCGTCTTAATTAACACCCACTACATCATATCCGCTGCCTATTCAACAGTGTCGTCATCACTCAGAGGAAATCAATGCTGGATCACTGTAAACAGGACCGAGCACACAATAGCGACATCAGTACTATTTCCAGGTTCATGTATTTCACATTGCGTCATTTTGAAAACTTTTCCAATGTTTGTTGATGAGGCTGACAATTCAATATTATTTAGGGTACTTAGAAACTAAAAAATTTCACTCGAGATAGTATATTGTTTATTTTTTACCTTGACAAACTTGACAAAATTCACATGACAAGAATTTAAAGATACAAGATATCACATGTAGGAACTTTTGAATCAATAAAAAAAATGTACATATACAAATGAAAATCTGACAGAACTTACCTTGCTAGTTTGCTAAGTCCAAGCACCCTCTTGTTTGGTAAATAACCTATGGAAACCTGGAAAGAATATAAAGGCTAAATTAGGAAAATCACAGAAAAAAACAGTTTACTTGTATTACAAAATCTGTTTTCTCATCCCTCTATTAATATAATTTCAACAGCTTGACGGGTAAGAATTAGAGTGAAATTATTTTCTCTATGTTATGCAGCGCCAAAAGGTGGTGTGATGGTCTGAGATTAGCACAAGCAAATCCCTACTGTGTGTTACCTGTATGTGTACATGTAATTCAGGCGACACAGGTAGCGACAGGCAAGTTCAAGTTTTATATTTAATATCCAGATATCGGTAATCAGTGATATGGGGAGTAATCTGGAAGTATATTCACAGGGGATCAATTTTATGGTAAATCTAATAATTAAATGCAAACATTTGTTTGTATGTGCATACATGCTTTATGTCCATAACACGTATTGTTGTGTTTGAAAATGTTTTGTTTGTTTAATAAATCAGTCGCAGCGCCTCTTTCACAGTGAAATACATTTCTGTATTTTTTGTTGTTTATCCTATTGGATAACTGAGTAGAGAACGAAATTCGTATGTACAATGTACCATGTTTGTATTAAAAATATACATTTTTGAACAAAATAACAAAAAAATAGGGTGATTGTCATTTTTTGTCCCAAAGACGTCTCAGCTAAAGGTCTTTTAAGAAATCAAGTTAAGGTTAAGGTATTAATTAAGAAATATGGAATGAGTTTCATGATTTTTTTTTTTTCGATAATCAAATAACAATTCTGAAGCTGTGGCCTTGACCTTAGACATGTGACCCTGACGTCAACTGGTTTCCAGAGATCAGTGCCAAGAATGATTATCATCTAAAAATTTAATGATAACTGGTTGTAAACCTTAGTAAGAAACCTGTGGACATGCCAAATATTAAATTTTTCCATCATCATATAAATATTTTGTAGCTATGACCTTGACCTTGAATGAATTTGACCTTCCACTGGTCTCAAGAAATTAAGTCAAAACTAGCAGACAAGCCAAATTTACAAAAATCAAATTATCATGTAAAGATTTTGTAGCTATGACCTTGATCAAATACCCCTGAAATTCATATGGGCTCAAGAGGCTGATGTGAGGAATACATGTGTGATGTTTCATTAAGCTTGGTTGGAAACCTTAGTAAGAAACCTGTGGACAATCCTAATGTATAATTTTCTATTATCATGTAGAGATCCTGTAGTGGTGACCTTGACCTCTAACATAAAGACCCATTTCTCACATCCTGACACTGGATGCAAAAATATATTGCAACATGTCTAATGTGCATGACGAACATTGGCAAAGCTTAATGGGAAGCTAGAAAGCTAGGCTAGCTTAGAAAAGCAAAACCAAATTAGGCCTATATTGCATAATATTCATCTAGAATCATTCATGTTTAAAACGAAATTATATCAGCTTTTCAAAAAAAAATGCTTAACATTTGTTGAAATGTGTCTTTCAAACATGAGAGCTAATGTTTAGGAAATGATTACTAAGCCAAGGAATGCTCGAGGATATAAATTGCCCTGATCCAGGTATTTGATTAATATTGATTGCCCATTAGCTTAGATGTGTGTTTCATGCAGAATACATTGTTGCAATCCTATTATTTCTAATGACATCCCATTGTTTACACTGTCCATGGTGTCAGATTCTTCACTGGTTAACTCAGCCTCTATTTTTCTGTGACTTTAGTTGTAATAGGGTACCATTAGGAACATATTCATGAAACCCTCCTGGTCACACTCAGATTCTGCACTGAATTCATACAAACACTTTCAGATAAAAAGGGAAATACAAAATTCAGTGTTTTATGGATATTATTACTGATTTTGACAATACTTTGATAAATTTAAAAGGAAGCACATTTATCAGGATTGAAACAGAAGGAAATGTAGGAACTCTTCAGGATTATCCTTTTAAGATGAAAGTAAAAAATCCCTCAATAAGTCGGATTTATTTGGTACCTATTCTTGATCATGGCCATTTGTAATTGATCATTGGTAGACCTAATGTTATTTTACAAATGTTTGTCGCAATAATAGCTCTCAAGAGCTAATGTTCCTTGTTTACCTGTATGCGACGTTAAATAAAACTTTTGTATCTTGTATTACTTAATCTGCTTCACCTACTATAATCGATCATGACAACACTACAGATCCTCATTACCAATATTTCCAATAACTCTTTGGAAATTTATTTCTCATCTCAAAAGCAATAAAATTGTCTACAAGGAACCCTTAATCCAGGATTATATAGGAAGTTATTTTGCTAGTTGTATAATTTGCTATAGAACTTTTTTGTTCACAGGACATTTTTTTGAAAGTGATACAATTATGACTTCTTAATACCAAATTCAGAATTCATTTCAATAAGCACGTTCTTAGTACATGTAAACAGGTTTTACTCCTTGTTTCCCTTTTAAATCACTGTCGCTAAATACTGTGTTTCTTATCAAGATACAAATTAAAAGAAAAGAGCTTACCTTGCCAATAAATGGTACTAGATGGTGTTCACATAAAGAGAACATCTCAATGTCTTTTACTATCACCATGTCGTCGTGATCCTCATCAAATATGGCATCGTTTAGGGCGTCTACAACATCAAACTCAAACATCAGCTAAATATGATCTTCATCAAATATGGCATCGTTTAGGGCATCTACAACATCAAACTCAAACATCAGCTAAATATGATCCTCATCAAATATGGCATCGTTTAGGGCGTCTACAATATCAAACTCAAACATCAGCTAAATATAATCTTCATCAAATATGGCATCGTTTAGGGCATCTACAACATCAATCTCAAACATCAGCTAAATATGATCCTCATCAAATATGGCATCTTTTAGGGCGTCTACAACATCAAACTCCTATATATATATATATATACGCCTTACATATGAAGCTGATATAAGGAATAGCAAACGACATTATTTCTAGGAAGAACATTGAATTTAGTATGTAGGGCTTCAGATTTATAACAATATAATCTATAAGTTTAAGTTTGGTTCCTGTAACATACCAGTAAATAAATAATATCTTGAATATAACTTGTCTAGACTACTCTGTTTTGGGATTTATCAGATTTAAATACAACTTTACTTTATTCTCCCTATATCAAAGCAATTTGTTAAATTGACTATATCTCGCTCTTTGCTGTCCAGGGAGTTGTTCCTCTATCAGCTGTGTGGTGGTCTGAAACTAAAACACTCCCAGCAGTTTCTGGGGGGTGTTGCAGTTTAACTCCCTCAGCAACTTCTGTGAGTTCCTGGACCTTGTATTGACCTGACCCCACCCAATTATTATCAATAAAGCACAGATGATCTTGAAAGAGTTGATTTGGCTTTTGATAAGTTTCTGGGAAGTGTGGATAGGTTATGCTTTTTAAAAATGTGTGTGTGTTTTTGTATCTATACAATTAAACAGTTAAATTATGGGCTTGAGGGATAGGGCAAGTTTCTAATTCCCTCAACCAAGCCTATTGCCCTCTGCTTGACCTTGGTAAATAGACCTAGTCCCAGGGAACTAGAAACTTTATATGTCCCTTAATCCAATACTTTAACTGTTTGCTACCACTTATCATTTGAAAAACATATGGCTATCTATAACTTCCATGTATTATCAGAGGATTTTGACAACTATTAGATAAGAGTTTTTGGAAGAGATAAATTGAGTTTAGATAACAGTAAAAGTTAGCAGAACGGGCCATGTGTCATGATATACAAGTGGACTAAAATGTTATCTCTCCACCTTTTCTTGTTTCGTGTATCATGACAAAGTTTTACAACCTGAAAAATAATGTAAATACAAAGAAAATATCACTTCCAAAATCACATACATAACGCCAATTAAAAAATAAACATATATCTATAAAACAAATGTTGAATTAAACTCTACCACCGGGACGTCATGATAAAAATTATTCTCTGCTTCATGTATCACTTTTTCATGTCCTGTTGCAAAAAATCTATATGTTGGAAGTGGTGTCCTTTTAAAATGGCCTACAAATGTATCAAGTGTACCCTAAAGTGTGCGTTACCATGCCAACGATGCACCAGAGGACACACCAGACTGGAACATCCATTGGGAAATGGAACCATTTTTCTAATGAAAGATAAGCCCACGTATCATGTGAAACATTTTTCAGAATAAAACTAGTAGTTTTGACAAACTGTTGTCCATGCAGCCAGCTTTTATCAAATACAGTAAAAAATCTGCTCAAGTTGAACTACTCACAGGATAAAAAAAAAACAAATGTTAGAGATATAGGGTGTTATACAATGTATATGGAACACAAAATAGCTGAGTAGGTCTGGAATGGGTTAGCATGTCAAAGTGACATTTCTTCATTTCTCTTCAGGGTATAGGTAAAGTCTTTAAGGCAATTCCTGATATACTGAGAAAGATTTTGATGAAAAAACCCCCACCGTAATTCAATATAATTGTTATTACTGTTAGTGAGCAAATTCTTTCACTTACATCTACCTATATAATGGTGCTTAAAACAGAAGTGCCTTTAGGAAGCTACTGGAAAAGTAAACAGGATGGGCTTACATGATTTGGGTAGTCAGCTGATGTAACATGTTTTTTTTCTCTTCTAGATGGGAGTGTCCACCTATAGCTATACATTACGACTGTTGCTGTTTGTATTTTTGGGAATTCCCATGAATAACACACTAAATGCAGCTTATTTGAAAAGTGTTAACAAGACATGTAAGGATTAGAAAATTATTGAGAAATTTGTTAAGATGAAATATTAAATACAATGTACATTAAATTGAATATATGCTGAGGACCTGATACCCTACATTTGCCATTCAAATTAACATGAAGTTTCTGTTGAGTTTGGAGAGATACTGAACAAATTTCTGTAAGGAGAAATATCTAGGTACTTTTAAATCATCTGGATTTTCATTAACAGGAAGTACCTGTTCAATTAAGAAAAGTTTCTGACTCACCAAAGTTCAAATTAACCAGATTCTACCATACTTTCTGTCTTATCCTTGTTCGACCAAATTCAATTCATTCAAAAGAACATGTTTCTGTAAGAGTGACCTGTATAAAGCGACCACCTGTCTGAAAATCTAGTTTTTTCAATATTCCCACCAAAGATCACATAACTTAGGTATGAACACACATGTCATTTAATTGGATGAATGGGCCATTGATTGTGTACATGCTGACTGCTGTACTAAGTGGCTTTATTTGTTGTGATTATTGAAGTGGGAGATCACAACAGGAAAACAGATTCAACTTTACAGCAACATTGATCTCATTGGAAGGAATCAATAAACGCCCAGGATGGCACTCCAGTGACGGCCTCCATGTTTACACTCCAGACAATGTCCCAAACAAGAAATCCTTTCATGAATATAATTTGCATTGACAAACAAGTGTTGGTAGGAGTGTGGTTCTCGTCCTCCATACATCGTCCTCCATACATCGTAATGGGGATGGACTTGGCACTGAAATCAAAGCCATTCCCATTCATGATTGAGTCAGTGTCACTCAGGGATAGAGTAAGGTTGTTCAGTCTTTTTGTACTTGTTTCATGGTCGTCCAGAAAATCAGTATTAAATATCAAGGCCCAAGTTCTTTGCTCATCACCCATACAACATCAAAAAATGTCAAGGCTCAACACATAGGATTATAATGTAATATACATGTAGTGAGTGATGTAACATGTGCCTGGTAATGACCCAAAAGTAATCGGAGCCTATAATGGTGTATATGTCGGTCTTTAAAAACCTTTAATGGTTCCCAATATAATGAGAATACTTTTGATAAATAAATTTCTAATTCCAAGTGCCACGCATATTTTTAGTATTAATGAAGAAATTTGATCACTGAAACCTATGTATAGACAATTCGAATATAAATGTAGAAATAATGGGTCTGCTTTATTTGGATAGTTCACCGACGTAATGAGTACACCAATATTAGGGTAAGCAAACCCCCCTGCCTAGCTGGTCAGCTTTTTCGATGTCAAGTGTGCCAATAATTTTAGACCTATTAGTTCTTAAGAAGAAGCTGAACATTTTAACATATATATAACTACTTTCACCTCTTATATAAAGATCCCCTCAAATGGCTCAACTTCGTCTTAATGGCAGAGTTTAATTTCCTTTACAAACCTTAAAGTATATCAAAAAAGGTGATACAAAATGAATATAAAAACCATCAACTGCTGATTTGTAACAAGAAGATTGTTTAAAAATGACCAAAATTTATCATCTCCCCCATATAGGCCAGTCAAAGGGGCCAGTCCTACTTCTCTCGCAATTCTGAATCATCTGCTGATACTTCCTACTAAATTTTGTTATGTTTGGCCAGGCCGTGAATCTAGAGAAGAAGTCATTCAAACAAAAAATTTAGATATAGATGACAAACAGCTGCAGATTGCATATGCTCACTTGGCCATTTGTATAAGTTGTGCTAAAACCACCTCCCTAATGTGACTAATCTAGATTGAGTCAACACCTAGATTGAGTCTGTGTCCTTTTGTCCGACTTGTCATTATGCATGTACAGTACTTGCTATGAGTTGTAAAACATCAGCAAACAGAGAAACAATACAGAATATCAAATCTCCAGTCACCCGATCATATAGCAGTACAAACATATACATAGAAATACTTATTCTTTGTAGAGGGCAGACGATCCCTTTACGAAGCCGATTACCTGGTATATACCAAAAACACATGTAATATGTGTATGTGTGGTTTAAAGTTGCAGGAGAACTTGCTTTTAATGAAAAAATACAATTAAGTTCTGGCTAATGGCTGTTCTTTTTATAACAGATCTGAAAGGTAGAAACAAATATTTGCTGTACTCCAGTTTCAGTTTAAACACTAAAGTTGATTTATTTCGGATGAGAATGAAAGAGAAATGAGAATTGGCCAACACCCAGACTGTTAATTTATTAGTTGAATGTCTACTGTATATAAAATTACATGCATATGTAGCTTGGTTTGGTTGTTATTTCATTTATACGAATTATTACAGTTGATACAGTTAAAAATACCCCAATCTCATGCTATAAAACATTATGTAGATGAATATAAAATTCTTGTGGCAATGATTCATCCAATTAACCCTTTCACCCCTATATAACTTTAATAACCTCTACCATAAATTGATCTGGATGAGTCCATTATGGTCTACAGTGTTGAAAGGGTTAACATGAAGAGAAATACATTGAAATTACATCTTTTCTTCAACCAGGTACATCTTACAGCTAAATGTGTAAAAGTTAGAAATGAAGAAATAGGATCTAAATACAAGAGAGATGACAATAATTCGGTACTGTGCCGGTATTTGTAAAAAGTGTTACTCAATCTAGTTACCACTGCCTCAAAATAAAGAAATAGTATCTAAATCCAAGAGAGATAACAAAACTTGAGTCCTGTACCTAAAGCAGGACACTGTAGGCACAGGACATGTACTGTATACAACAAGTGGATGACACCTGTAAATAATTAGAAAGGCTAGGGATACACATGTATACAGTAATGTGAACTTTTATGTACGGGGACAATGAATTACACATCTCTGCTTTAACAGTGTTAGACACATCATACCATGAGTTTTG